TATATATATATTATTAAGAGTTTGAACTATTTTTTTTGTTATATATGAATTATTTGTTTAGAATGCTTATTTTTTATTTTTTCGAAGTTTTTTTAATTTGAAATTTTTTTTCCAAAATTTTTATATTTTAATTTTTTAGAATTTATCAATTTTTATTTTAATTTTTTTTTTAAATTTTCAGTTTTTAAATACTTATTTTCCATGTTTTGAGTGTTTTCAAAATTTTGTGAGGCTAGACAAAACTATTGAATTAAATTGAACAATCGAATCTAATCAAGAGGTTCCTCTTAAGTTAAATACCTAAACAGGTTTCAGAATTGAGAATCGAGGGGTTCGATTCAATTCTCGTTTTTAGATCAAGAACCGAATAACTGAATTTATCTAATCTTTATTTTTATTCTTTTTTTTACCAAATATGCTAAATTATTTTCATTTTTTTTCTAATAAATTTCAACTAATTAATTGAGTCCAAATTATCATTTTCCTGTTTTCAGTCCAAGCTTAACTTTGTAATTCAAATTTCAAAGAATCAAAATTGAGTGACCTAAGTTTTTCTCAATCATTTTACAGTTTCTCAAATGATCAAAGCTAAACAGCTACGCTTCTCTTCATTTTACCCTTTTTCTGCCATAGTCATTGAATTTCCACTTTGATCAATGTAAGCTTTATCTATTTTTTTTTCCTAATAATTTATCTCACTCAATATATAAACATTATAATTTATAACTAGCGTTCAAAATGTTTATTATGAGCTTGCTCTATTGCGTGTCTTCGTTTCTCTTAGTAGCTACATTCCTTGCTCTGTTTTTTATTTTCATCCCTTTTTTGGCTAAATATTTTCATCTCTCTTTTAGTATGCCCTCCATTTTGAATATGCCTTTAGTGGATTAATAAAGTGTTGTTGTAAATATTAAAAAATTTAATTATGATATGGATCCGAATGTATATTTAAATTTAGACCTGACTATTTCACTTACTAAATATCCAAAATTATAGTTCACTCCGATTCTCTTTAAAAACAAATCGAATCGGACCATATACAGTCCTAGAATTTTTCAACGCTCAAAATATCAAAATGCGTATTGAGTTTTGTGCTATAAGTTTGACCCTATTTTCAAAAATGTCATACCAAACTCGCTTTCAATATTTTGCAATATTAAAAATTGAAAACTATTTGAAAATAGCAAGCCAACGCACACTTAGTTTTCAAAGAATTGGGCTTAAACATGGGGCTAAACTTTATTTTTAACATATTTTAGATTTCATTACATCTCATCCTACGAGATAGTTCACATGATAATCAGCCATCATAGATGAAGTAAGAGTTCATGCCAGGTCCACACTTCACTCCACCTTGCTTTCCATATCTCCCTTGGTGGGATGGTCCGTCGAACGAGGAACCACTACCTCATCGAGTAGCCTATCCTTACGCAATGAGATGAGGCCACTTCGAGACTTGATTTTTTCTCTCTTTCTGGACACACCACATAGGACGGTACAACTGCCCCACTGAAATTTTTCTCCCCGAGCTAGTTAGGCACCTCATCCGAAGTGCTTGACCACCTTTCCAAGCACGCAATACATTCCCTTTGAAGTGACTCTTTTCAGATGAGAAAACCTGTGCTAAAGTCGTATATTCAATGTGAGGTGCCTCTTGTTGAAGCGCATCTACGAGGTGGTTAGACGTTTTCTTATAAGTGATTGTCCAGGTAACATACACTTCAGAATTGACCAGGTAACATACCATATTTTTCTTGGATACTACTCTTTTGCTTGCCTTGAAAGTAACATTTTACTCTGTGTCGCTACTTTATTATCATTCAAGAAAATTAACATAACTTTTACACATTAATTTTCTCCTAATTTTTTTTCTAGTTTTATCATCGACAAATTTCATTGCTTCAAACTAAAATATTACTACTTAAAGATTATTAATTTATTCCAACATCACAAAACATTCTTTTCTTATAATTTTTGTTTTTGTTCGTTTCACTTGTCAAAACATCACAAATTAGTATATATTAATATTATTTTCTCACAAAAAATAGCTAGAAATAATGTCTTGAAGTCAACAAACTATACAGGTCTCAAAGGAAAGCCTTACGATGAATACCTAGGCACCCAAAGACAAGGAAGGGCATAGTAATCAACAAAATGCTTCGGAGAGTTGAAAATAAACATAGATCCGAAGATTCCAGAATAGGGCAGAGCACATGGAGCCATCTCCTTAATCTTATTTTGAAAAATACGGCAGATTGGCTGATATTTCTATCAATTAATGAAAGAGCCCAAAGCAAAAAAATAAAAATAAAAAAAATAAATGCATGTTGGGTCTTTGAAACAGATCAGATCATTTGATAATAATAAGTTCAATCTGTTTTACCGAGAAAGTCTACGGTTCGAGTCTGTATAGCCCTAGAGCCCTATCAAAGGGTGATTTTAGTAAATAACCAAATATAATACTTGGGCTAAGTGTCAATTTGATTGGTTTGAGGTTATCGACAAAAAGGAT